CTCTTCCGATCTCTTATTTATAGATATTTATAAAACCCCAAAACCCCGTGAAGATACATTTTTAAGATTTTATAAATATCTATAAATAAGCATTTTATACTTTAAATTTTATGATTAAGTAATGATATAAATAGCCTTTTATGACTCATAATTATTACTGTTTTGGATATAATTATCAATCAGAGAGATTTTCACCAGTCTTCTTCTTCCATTATAGCAATAATGCTTCCATCTCTCGATGGGTAAGTTTAAAGATAGGCTTCAACAGTTGGATTGTAGATATCTTTGTACATTGAGATGCCTTATAATTCAGATTTTTACTCTTTGCTGAGGATAGGGTTTCCATAAACATCGTAGTTAGTTGATCTATCAATAACTGATTGATCCATGCTATCTTCAGTTTATTACTTCATATCTCTCTCGTAATTTTTAAGCTTTTACTCGAGTGATAATGGTGCTGATTAGACCTTGGTGCCATAAATCTTTTGCATGGTCTCGAGATAGGATTGCTCCTTGAGTTGATGTTTTTGTTGGTAAAGTGGGTCGTAGTATCCCCATTGTGGTGATTGTACGTTGGCATAGTGGCCGTAGATGTTTTGTATGCCGCTTAAGTAGGTTTATTGCTTCATTTCTCTCTCTAAATCAGATAAGGGGTTACCTTTCTCAACATTTGGCTCTTGGACCTTGGTTCCGTAGATTTTTTGCATGGTCTCAAGGTATGACTGCTGCTTAAGTTGATGCTTTTGTTGGTAGAGTGGGTCATAATATCCGAACTGTGGTGATTAGACGTTAGCGTAGTGACCATAGATATTTTGCATGCCTGAAAGATAAGTTTGTTGCTTCATTTCTCTCTCAAGGTCTGAAAGTGGATTTTATCCTTCAACGTTTGGCTCTTAGACTTTGGTGCCGTATATCTTTTGCATAGTCTCAAGATATGATTGTTACTTAAGTTGATGTTTTTGTTGATAAAGAGGATCATAGTAACCAAACTGTGGTGATTATACGTTAGCATAGTGTCCATAAATATTTTGCATTCCAGAGAGATATGTAGCTTGTTTCATTTCTCTCTCAACATCTTCGAGTGGGTTTCCACCTTGAACCTTGGTTCCGTAGATTTTTTGCATGGTCTCGAGGTAAGCTTGCTCCTTGAGTTGATGCTTTTGTTGATAAAGTGGGTCATAATACTGTGGTGCTTCAACATATGGATTAACTAAACCTGGAATGAAATAGGTCTCTGGTGACATTATTAGTTAGGCTCCTTATGCAACTCCGATGAAAGCAGCAACTGCTAGACTTGAGTAGGATTTCATTGTGGATACTTTTAAAGTAAAATAATTAATTATATCTTATTCACTTTTAACGCTATTTATATTTCAAATTTATAATATTTTATTATTTAAAAGATATTTTCATTGATGGGGTTTTGGGGTTTTGGGG